GGTGAGGTGGGGGCCATGTGGATGGGGGAGTCCCACGGGGAAGGAGGCGGTGAGGTGGGGCTGCAGGAACATACGGCAAAGCTGAGGGTGACAGCAGATAAATGTGGGCCCCAGAGAGTCTTGAGGGGTCAAAGGGAAGGCAGAGGTAAGGTCTCCACAGGATAATGGGGTGAACAGATAGATAAGGAAGCCACATGAGATAAGGGCATCACACAGGGCTGGGAGAGGAGAGGGGGCCACAGAGAGTGCATAGGTAGGGGTCACATGGACAGCTGGAGTACTACCCAGGGACAGAGATGGGCCAGCAGAGCCAGTGGCGTGCCTGACGCCAAGGGATGTGGCAGTGGCCAGCATGCCCTTATTGGCATGGGCTTGTGGGCCGGCTGCTCAGTGGTCACTGAAGTTGCAGGACTACCCAACCTGTGTGACCTCCTTGGTCCAGGCAGAAGACAGATGCCAAGCATGGAGGGCCTCCTGCCGGTGACAGGTGAGCAGACCTTGCTGACAATGCTGAGTGGCTGCTGAGGGAACCGGGTAGAAGTACCAGGGGCACAGATGGAGATCAGGAACCAGGGTGGGGGTGAAGGACCTGGGGTGGCGTGCAGGAGGATGAGTGAGGAGCATTGCTCCATGCTGACCAAGGGATGTCAGCTTGTGGGGCCAGACTCCCACGGAGCCCCTTTGGGCCAGCCTGGGGGCCTCTGAGGAACGGATGGGTGGAGCTGGACCCTGGCCAGGGTCCAGGGTTTACAGCCAGGTGTGGGTGGTCAGCAGTGTCAGCAGGGACAATAAATGGGGCCAGTGGAGGTGCTGAGCCCTGAGTCCACGCAGCAGAGCCGAGGGCCAGCCGCAGGTTAAGTCCTGGTCCTCTGGTATCTGATTCTCAGCACTAGCATGCCTCGGCCCGGCCACCTCCTGACCACACTGGCCCTGCTTTCTGGTGAGCTGGGCAGCTTTCAGGGACACAAGGAACCCTCTCAGAGCCATAGGTGGCTGCTCTTGGGATACAAGTGGGAACAGAACCTGGGCCCCCCAGATGTACCCGAGGCAGCCCCCAGCCCTTCGGTCCATGCTGGACAGCCCCAGCCATCTCACTCTCCCTGATGGCATTTGGGACCTTGTTCTCACGCGAGTTCACAGACCCTGACCTAGTCAGGCTCGAGGCTGGGAGACATCCTTGAGGAGCCCCACTACCGCAACCCCTCCGAGGACTGTCCCACAGAGGGTGACCTCCAGCAGCCTAGGGTTTCTGAAACATCCCAGACAGGTGGGTGGCCGGTTGTGCTGCCCTCCAGCTGCCTGATGCCTCCGCTGGCAGGGGCCCTGGGCTGGACCTGGCTTCCCAACCACTGCTGGAGCCCCCAGGAGGCCTCGTGTAACTTCATGTGTGACTGCTTGGACTGTTCCGACGAGCTGCAGTGCGGTGAGGGGTGTGGGCGGCTGTCCCCCAGAAGCTGCATGAGTAGAAGGCTGCTTCGCTGTACTGCAGTGGGGTGGGGTCCCCGATAGGCAGCACGATGGTCAGGAGGGTCTCCTGTCAGTGCAGTAAGTGGGGGCTGCCCAGGTTGTAGTGAACGGCCTGAGGGCAGTCCAGTGTGAGGAGCAGAGGGATCCAGAGGGCAGTGTGATAGGTAGGGGGCCTGAAGCAGAGTAGAGGTAGGGGTCATTCAGCAGGCAGTGCGCGCGTGCTGTGCACAGAGCAGGTTTGAGGGCTGGGTGCTGACAAGGGTGCCCTGTAGCAGCTGCAGACCCTCACTCGCAGGTTACCACGGGACCTCTCCTGCCCTGGGCGCCCCCCTCACCTGTGACTTCGAGCAGGACTCCTGTGGCTGGCAGGACATCAGCACCTCTGGCTACCGCTGGCTTCGGGACCGGGCAGGCGCCTCCCTGAAGGGGTCTGGGTGCCGCACTGACCACACGCTAGGCACAGACCTGGGTAACATTCCCCCCAGGCCAAGGCTCATCCCCAAGCTCCTCCCCCCTTGCCTTTCCTGTCCCCTGAACCCCTTCTCTGGCCAGGTTGGTATATGGCCATCGACACCCACCAAGGGAAGGAGGTGTCCACAGCTGCCCTTCGCTCACCCCACCTGCACGAGGCAGCCGCCTCCTGCCAAGTCCATCTCTGGTTCTATGCGGCCTCAGGAGGTATGTGGCCCAGACCCCAACAGGTGGGCAGGTCCCTGAAGGGGTGGCAGGGCAGCCGCAGAAGGGCTGTGTGCAGAGCAGGGGTGAAGCCACAGATGCCTGTGCTCCCCACAGATGTGGCTGAGCTCAGGCTAGAGCTGACCCATGGCTCTGAGACCCTGGTCCTGTGGCACAGCTCAGGACCTTGGAGCCCTGGCTGGCAGGAACTGGTGGTGGCCACAGGGCGCATTGCGGGCAGCTTCCAGGTGAGCTCATGGTGGCCTGGGTGGGGCGCCCGCAGTAGTAGGAATTCAGGTCAGGGCGCAGCTTCAGTCCTAAAACTCCCTACTCTCTTCAGGTGACTTTCTCGGCCACCCGAAACGCCACCCACAGAGGCACCATGGCCTTGGACGACGTGGCGTTTTGGAACTGTGGGCTGCCCAGTAAGTCCCTCACCCAGGGTGGGGCCTCCCTCAGGACATGGGCAGGATTCCCCTCCCTCCACCCTGCTCAGAGCACAGGGAAGGACCCCCTTCCCACCTTCCACAGCCGACATGAAGTCTGGGAAGGGCTGTTGGCCCAGCCTGCTCAGAGCCCCTGCCCCTGTCCAGTGCACAACCCCAGGGTGATGGGGTCCCTTCCTTCAGCCCCCAGGGCCAGCTGCCCTCTGGGCCAGCACCAGTGCCGGAACAAGGCCTGCGTGGAGCTCCACCAGCTGTGTGATGCTGAAGACAACTGTGGCGACCACTCAGACGAGGACTCGGCCACCTGCAGTGAGGCGGGGACCAGGGACGGCGAGGGCTTCAGGCTCAGACCAACACCAGCTGGCTGGGGGGCAGGACTGGGAGACCTGCAGAGGAGGGGGCTCAGCCTAGCCACTCCGGGAGGTGTGGCTACTGCAGCAGGCAGCTGCCCACTCCCTGAGGCCCCCTGCCTCCACTCTAGGTCACCACACAGCCACTGACTTCGAGACTGGCCTGGGTCTGTGGAATCGCTCAGAGGGGTGGTCCCGGAACCATGGTGCTGGAGGCTTGCAACACTGTACCTGGCCTTGCCGAGACCACAGCCTCAACAGTGCCAAGGGCAAGTGTCACGGCTCCAGCCACCATCCCTCACAGCCACCGCCCACCGAATCACGGTCCCTCACAGCCAACCCCCCATCACTGTCCCTTACAGCCACCTCCCCCCTTTTCCCTTACTGTCACCACAGTCCTGCCATTGTCCCTCATGGTCACTACCCACCCAGTCACAGCCCCTCACAGCCACCACTCCTGCCTAGCACCCCTGCAGACTACACTCATTCTTGATCTCCGTGACTGAGCCCAGCAACCCCGTCCCCGCAGGCTCGTTCCTGATCTCTGCGGCTGAGCCCAACACCCCTGCTGTTCTCTCCAGCCCCCAGCTCGAAGCCTCAGGTGCCCACAACTGCACAGTGAGTCAGCAAGTGGGGACATGGCTTTGGTCCTGACAGCCCCCTGGAGGTCATGCCTCAGCTGCCCCTCTGTTCCTAGCTGGTCTTCTATCTCTACCTACACGGCTCTGAGGCTGGCAGCCTGCAGCTGTTCCTGCAGCCTCAGGCCCCAGGGGGCCCCCAGGACCCCATCCTGCTGCGGAGCCACCATGGGGACCTGGGGGACTTCTGGGTCCGTGACCGGGTGGACATCTGGAACACACACCCCTTCCAGGTGAGGACCGGTGGGGCTGGGGGCGGGTACAGTGAGGGCCTTTGGGTCAGAGTCTGTAGGGGGAATTCAGGAGGGCTGTTTGGAGCCAGTGAGTAGGGGGCTGTGGAGAGGGGACAGGACAGAGGGCCACATGAGGGCAGTGCTGGTGAGTGAATTGGAGGCTATCAGAAGATGGCCTAAGAGGACGGCAGGATGGGGACTGTGCAGGGAAGAGTGCAGGGGCGGGCAGGGGAGGGAGGGAGGGAGGGCGCTGAGCGGCACCCAGGCAGGGCCTGCTGTGGTGGATGGGCGTCCAGGACCTGAGCTACGTTGTGAGGATGTGTCTGAGGAAGAGGCCAGCACGGGAGTGATGATCACCCACCACACCTCTGCCCACAGATCCTGCTGCGCGGGCAGACGGGCCCGAGAGGTGCCGTGGGCCTGGACGACCTCGTCCTGTCCGCTGGCTGCACACTGGCTCCCGGTGAGCCTGCCCCCACTGCTGCCCTCCAGCTCCAGCTCGCTGTCCCCCATTTGACTCAGTCCTGTCCCCGCAGGTATGTCCGGCCTGCAGATGCCACTGTCAAAGCACCCCACCTCGGGCCCCATCTCCTCGCCCCAAACCTCCTGTGAGCCCGGGCACCTCTCCTGTGGGGACCTGTGCGTGCCCCCCGAGCAGCTGTGCGACTTCCAGGAGCAGTGCGTGGGGGGTCAGGATGAGCAGTGGTGCGGTGAGAACCCCTTCTCCCAGATGGGGGGCTGGCACTGAGACCTGGGCTGGTCAGGTGGGCACCCCCATTACAAGGCCAGGTGCAGGGGGGCTCTCAGATGCCGGGTCTGCTGGAAGTCCTCAGAAAGGGGTCAAGTGGGGATCCCAACTTTGGGCCAGGAGGGATTTTCCAGAAATAGGGCTGAATGGGGATCCCAGAGAGCTGGGTCAGGCTGGAGTCTCCGGGAATGATGCTGGGTGGGCTTTTGGGGGTCCTTCTGTGTCGAACTCCCAGGCGTGTACAATGCTGGGGCCTTACAGGAACCACGGACTTCGAGACCTCCACTGGGGGCTGGGAGGACGTGAGCGTGGGACGCCTGCAGTGGCAGCAGCTGGATGCCCCAGACGGTGGGGGCCACGTGGGTGAGACACTTGAACCACACTCTTCCTGCCTGCTTCCCTCATGGGTCTCTGGGTCTCAGCAGTTAACTCAGCTGCATCCCCTCCTGCTCCTTCCCCAGGGCACTTTCTGTCGCTGCAGAGGGCCTGGGGGCAGCTAGCACCAATCGCCCGGGTCCTCACCCCAACCCTGGGCCCCTCAGGCCCCACCTGTGAGCTGCACATGGCCTACCAATTCCAGAGTCACCCCCAAGGTAGTCAACTGTGGGACCAAACCCACCCGCAGGCCTACGGGCGGGAGGCGGGGCTACAATAGCTGTGCCCCTCACCAGGTCTGCTGGCACTGGTGGTCGTGGAGGGCGGCACCCGGGAGCTGGTATGGCGTGCTCCGGGCAGCAGTGCTGGCCACTGGATAGTGCACACAGTCTCTCTTGGGGCCAGACGCCGGCCCTTCTGGGTGAGGGGGTCGTCTGGTGGGAGGGCTCATGGCCGGCCTTACGGGGGAGGGCCCTGGGAGCTGCGGGCGCCTCTGTGTGACTGTCGCCCTGTCCGCTGAAGCTGGAGTTTGTTGGTCTGGTGGACCTGGATGGCCCTGGGCAGCAGGCCGCTGGTGTGGACAACGTGACCCTGAGGGGCTGCAGCCCCACGGCCACCACAGACAAGGACAGAGGTGCCCCATCTCGCTCTGCCAGTCCCCCAATGGCCAAAGCAGGGATGGGGAGCAAGTAGGAGGCTGACCCTCTGTGGCTGCCCCCACAGAAGTATCCTGTAACTTCGAGAGGGACTCCTGCGCGTGGCACACTAGCCACCTCACAGGGGCCCACTGGCGACGAGTTGAGAGTGGTGGGCCAAGCTATGACCACACCACTGGCCGAGGTAGGTCCGGGCCAGGGCAGGCGCCCTCCCCTGGGCCTGACATCGGCCCTCCACTTACAGTCAGTCCATGCACAGGTCACTTTATGCTTCTGGACCCCACTGAGCCCCTGGCCCGGGGCCCTGGTGCCCACCTGCTCACCAGGCTACAGACACCAACAACACTGACCCAGTGCTTGTCTTTTTGGTACCATCTTCACGGACCCCAGATTGGTACGTGACCCCACGGCCCTGGCCAAGTGGCTGCTGGGCAGTCTAGGAGGGCTTTGTTGTCTCATCCTGACCTGGCCTTTCTCTGTAGGGACCCTGCGCCTGGCCATGTGGCAGGAGGGGGTGGAAAAGACTGTGCTGTGGTCACGTTCTGGCTCCCATGGCAACCAATGGCATCAGGCCTGGGCCACCCTCACCCACCAGCCGGATTCTAAGTACCAGGTCAGCCATCCAGCTCTGGAGGTGCTGGGCCCCCTGCTGCCTCAATTGTGGCCCTGGGGTCCTACCTGTGAGGGTGTTGGGCCCCCTATGGACCCAGGTATGAGGGTGCTGGAGGTCCTGCTGCCTTCTCTGTCCTGGTAGCTGTAAGGGATGCTTGCTTCCAACCTGGCTGGCCCCTCTGTCTCCAGCTGCTGTTCGAGGGTCTGAGAGACGGCTTCCGGGGCACCATGGGGCTGGATGATATCACCGTGAGACCTGGCCCCTGTTGGGCCCCCAGGCGCTGCTCCTTCGAGAACTCGGCTTGCGGCTTCACCACTGGCGGTCAGGGCCTCTGGAGGCGCCAGGCCAGTGCCACAGGCCAGGCCATAAGAGGTCCCCACACAGACCACACCACTGGAACAGAACAAGGTCAAGGGCAGACAGGGGCCTGGGAGGCTCGGGGCTTTGCGGGCATGAGTGGACACAATGACACTAGTATTGCCCTCAGGGTACTACATGGTAGTGGACATGAGCCCTCAGGCCATGTCTGGTGGACATGTGGCCTCCTTGACCTCTGAGGAGCATAGGCCCCTGGCCCAGGCCTCCTGCCTGACCTTCTGGTACCACTTGAGCCTCCAAAACCCAGGTGAGAGGCCAAGGGAGCGACTTCAGGGGTCTCAGGGCACCACATGTTGGGGTGGGGTCTTCAGAGGCCCTGGTGTTGGGGTGGAGTCTCCAGGTACTCTGGTGTTGGGGTGTTATCTTGGGCACCCTGGTTTTGGGATGTGGTCTTGGGCTCCCTGGTAGTTGAGTGGGGTTTCCAGGTACCCTGGTTTTGGGGTGTGATCTTGGGCACCCTGGTGCTGGGGTGTGGTCTTAGGCACCCTGGTATTGGAGTGGGGTCTCCAGGTGCTCTGGTGTTGGGGTGTGATCTTGGGCTCCCTGGTATTGGAGTGGGGTCTCCAGGTGCTCTGGTGTTGGGGGTGTGGTCTTGGGCTCCCTGGTGTTGGGGCGTGGTCTTGGGCTCCCTGGTATTTGAGTGGGGTCTCCAGGTGCTCTGGTCTTTGGGTGTGGTCTTTCTTAAGCACCTCCCTCATATTTGAGTGGGGTCTCCAGGAGCCCTGGTGTTGGGGTCGGGCACCATGCCATGCCTCTATTGATCTTGTTTTCATGTGGCAGGCACCTTGAGGGTCCATGTGGAGGAGGGCGCTCGGCGGCAAGTCCTTAGTGTCGGAGGCCATGGCGGGGCAGCCTGGCACCTGGGCAGCGTGGACGTGCAGGCTGAGAGGGCCTGGAGGGTGAGTGAGCCATGGGTGGGGCCTCACAAGGCCAGCTGAGGGTCCTGCACCCACCCGCGTCCCAGGAGCTGTCTGAACACCTGCCCTTGTTCTCAGGTGGTGTTTGAGGCCGAGGCTTCAGGCACGGAGCATGCATACATCGCAGTGGACGACCTGTTCCTTAAGGATGGGCCCTGCCCGCTGCCAGGTGGGATCTGTGGCCTATTAAGGACCCTAGGGCCACAGACGCAGAGGGCCAAGAGGGGTGGTCAGCACACAACTCCTTACAGGGTCCTGTGATTTTGAGTCCGGCCTGTGTGGCTGGAGCCACCTACCAGGGGCCGGCCTGGGCCAGTACAGCTGGGACTGGAGCAGCGGGGCCACACCATCCCGCTACGTCCAGCCAGCTGTGGATCACACCCTGGGGACTGAGGCAGGTAAGCTGCCAAGCATGGACGGCAAAGCCCCAGAGGGTGGCACTTAGAATCAGAGCTGGCTCTGGAACACACACCTCCTCCTGGCACCTGCCCGGTGCCCCTCAGTCCTTGATCTGGCTAGAGTGGACACACCTCCTCCTGTCACCTGTCTGGTTCCCACTCAGTCCTTGATATGGGCTGGACTGAGGGCAGCCCTCTGGCTCCCCCGGTTCACATCATTTAGTGCTTGCCACCCTCTCTTGCCCCAGGCCACTTTGTCTACTTTGAAACGGGTGTGCTGGGCCCCGGGGGCCGGGCAGCCTGGCTGCACAGTGAGCCCCTGCCGGCCACCAAAGGCTCCTGTCTCCGCTTCTGGTATCACATGGGCTTCCCGGAGCACTTTTGTGAGTGGGGTTGGGCTGGGGGCTGAGGAGGGCCCAGCCTGCGTCTCTGCCTCTGGAGAACATGAGCCTGGACCGTCCTTGCTCTGCCCAGACAAGGGGGAGCTGAGGGTCCTGGTGAGCAGCAGCAGGGGGCAGCTGGCTGTGTGGAGTGCAGGGGGGCACCAGAGGAACCAGTGGCTGAAAGGGCAGGTGGAGGTGACCAGCCCCGAGGAGTTCCAGGTGAGGCTGGTGTCCAGGTGAGGCTGGTGTGGGACTTGAGGGGCTTCAAGGCCAGAGCAGAGGCCAGGGGCCAGGGATTAGGGGCCAAAGCACAGGTCATAGATCCAGGGACCAGAGCCTGGCCAGCATGAGGGCACAGGGTGAGGAGCAGAGACCAGAGGTAGGGGCCATGGGCAGGAACAGGGACCAGAGTCAGAACACAGGGTGCAGGGTGGGGCAGGGGTAGGAGGAGGGGGACAGGCCAGCAATCAGAAGCAGGGCCCGGGGCAGGGGAGGGGCTGTGAAGAAAAGGGAGGGCTCGGGCAGGCCCTCTCTGGGATCCACCTGGTCCTCTTTGCCCCTTCAGGTTGTGTTTGAAGCCACCCTGGGGGGCCAGCCAACCCTGGGGCCCATTGCCCTGGACGACATAGAGTACTTGGCTGGGAGGTCCTGCCAGGTACCAGCACCCAGCCAAGGTGAGCCAGGTGGGCAGAGGTGAAGGGGCAGGCCTGCACCAGGGCCCACCCCCAGCCCTGCCTTCATTTCCCTGCCCTGCTCTGCCTGAGACTACGCCCACCCTTGGGACACCTACTTTTTGTGACCTCCTACTGACATGACCCCTTCCAGCTGCACTGGGGTGGGTCTCCCGCCACTGAGGTGCACAGATGGCCTGGGGGGGGCGGTCCCCTTCAGCCTGACCCACGCACTCTGGAGGGTCTCTTTGTAAAGCGGGTGGCCGGGGAACCTGGACGGCAAGGGCTGGGCCAGGACACACGCTTAGGTCTGCTGCCCACAGGGGACAAGTCCACACCCGTGTCTGTGCCCGCTGTGGTCGGTGGCGCCCTCCTCTTCCTCCTGCTTATGGGGCTGCTTGGACTTGCGGGGAGACAATGGCTCCAGAAGAGAGGGGGCTGTCCCTTCCAGGAGCGGGGGGACACGAGGGCTGCACCCGGCTTTAGCAACATTCTCTTCAATGCGGTAAGCGGGGGCGGGGCCTGCCAGTGGGCGGAGCCTGTCACGGACGGGCGGGGCCGCAGCGGGCGTCAGAGTGGGCGGGGCCTGTCGCGGATGGGCGGGACTTCGGCGGGCTATCAGGGTGGGCGGGGCGACTTCCGCGCACAGGGCGTGGCCTGGGGTGGGGGCGGGACCCACCGGTGGGCAGTAATTTGCGGACGCTGTGGGGGTACCAGGGAACTGCTAGGGGTCGGCCTGTAACTAATATTCCTGTCCCCTCTCGTCAGGACCGAGTCACGCTCCCAGCTCCTGTCACCAGTGACCAGTAGCCACTCTGGACTGCTGTCTGCACAAGAGCCCCGTGAGGGTGGGCGGTCAGGGACAGCTCGGGCCCTGCAGCTCAGACAGGTGCTCCCGTTGGCCACTCTCCACAAGCCTCCCTGTCCATCACCAGCCGAGTCTGCTCCCTGGACACGGTGGTCACTCACTTCAGGAATAAACTATCCCACCTCTAGCTCAGGTTGTGGTCACTTCACCTACCCTCTGACCTGTCCACAGCTGGGGGGCTCTCAAAACAAGAGGTCAACTACAACATCAAGAGAACATGCTCTTAGGTGGACAGGACGTTGAGTGACAGGTCAGACGAGCTGGTGCTGGACTCCAGAACCCTTCAGGGTCCAGAAACCTGAGCCAGATGTCCACTGTCCAACAGCTTCCCCAAGCCTCCTCATCCTCCATGGAAAAGGTCCCCAAGCACCCTGCCCAGTTTTTGCGTAGGTCTCCTCAATCATCTGTCCACCTCCAGTGTTGACAGTCCCTGCAAGGGTGTCTCTGATGCCCACACACTTGAGTCCATAACAAAGCTGAGCACTGAAGAACCCCCCTCTCCACGGTTCCATGAATCAGGCAGCCCCCTACCCACCAGGGGTTCAGGCCTCATGTACCACAAAGATCACTCAGCATCACTATTCTCCAGGCAAGAAGGGGTGCTACCCAGCATGAAAGTGGAGCAGAAACATCCCAGCAGGGCCCGGCCTGGGGTCTCCCCAGGGCAGAGGGTCAAGCCTGCAAGCCAACCCTCCTGGATCCAAGTGCAAACTGACCACACCAGCACGCAAAGTAACATGATACCCAGAGAAGGGGCCTGCTGCAGAGAAGGTGTACATCCAGCCAACACCCCTAGCCCTGACCGTCCCCCAGCAACCAGCAGCAGTGAGGGAAGGAGGCTGTCATTCAGGGACCACACTGTAGGAAGGACAACAGCTTTTATTAGCTCCTGAGGAAGCGCGTGAGGAGGAGCTGCGCAGCCCCTCCTAGCAGCACCCCTCTGCTCCCTAAGGGGATCGCCTCAGCCCCCAGCCCACCGAGCTAACACTACGACCGCTCAGGGGTGAAGAACAGGCAGGAGAGCCAGAAACTTTGCACAATTAGTTTGTTTGACAGCAGGTACAAGATGAGGGTCCCCAGCAAGGCTGGTGCCAGTCCTGGGGTTGGGAAGCCACCGGACGAGATCAGCCGGGACTGACTTCGAGGCTTTGTGTTCATTTCGCCCTTGGCCCCTTCTCAATGGGCTTCCCCACGTCCTTACCCCGGAGTTTGAGACCTGTGGAGGGCAGTCGCTGATGGCACCCAGGATCCACCACACCGAGTTCACAGCATGCCCACAGCCCCCCAAGAGCCCACAGCAGCCCACCTGATGGCACCTAGGATCCACAGCATGAACTCTGTACCAGGAACCACCATGTTCACCCCAAGACTCCACAGGCTCTGGAGTGTGCCCCCCAGGACCTTCAGGGTTCTATAATGACTCTCAATCCATAGCCTCATCTCCACTATGCAGTATTACCACCCCCTACATGCCCCACCAACTCCACAGCCCCTTCAGCCTCACCCCAGGGCTCCTCAGGGGCTGCTAGATCTGCAGCAACCCCCCCCCCCCCCCATCTCTACAGTCCAAGGGCTCCCAGGATGGC